GCTGGTCAATGCGTCGAATCCCAAAGCCTCGATGTACATTTGCTGCCACTGTCACAATAGCTTTTCGACGGCGCTACTCAAGCTTACAAGGACACAGAGCCTTCAGCATACCCCTTTTCCGAATTCGATGCATGTGTCGTTGTGACATCATCCACTCGACGATCGACGATCCAATCTCTGTTACATTGCCAATGGAATTCTTGATTGCTATGGATGCAGCTCTTGAAGCACTTGCACCGCCTGCAGCCAATCGTCGACTCTGACGAGTGTATGATCTCTAGCTCGTCTCGTCCCACTCCTCCTCTCCTCCAACCAATCGTTCATCTCGACCAACCAATCCGGCTGCTGAATCCTGTTCAATATCTCCTTGAGTCCCTTTGCCTCTCCCATGACGATGCCCAGATCCGCACTCAAAAGGGCATTCAGATCCGTACCGCTATCCCCAGCATACACTGTCAATCCTCTCAAACCCCTCTCTTTGCGAGCTTGCAAATCAATCAAGGCCGCTTCGGCTGCTTTGTGCGTCGATGTTCGAATACCGCCGGATGAGGAGGTGACGGAGGCCGATTTGGTGAGTCGACCAGTGCCAATGCCTTGAGAGTCTAGCTCGACTTCGTTGGCGTGAATGCTATTGGGCACCCAGGAGAGGTGGTGTGTTAGGCTGCCTTCGATGAAGCGGGCTGACCATCTGGACCGGTCAAGGTGATCGATTTGCGCCAAGAGAGCGGAAGCAAAAGATGCATCGTCAGCAACTCGAGACTAGCGACGTGCGTGTGATGTCCGGTGACGAGCGCGCTCGTGTGCAGTCAAAGCTGGAGTGACTCTGTTGACTCGTATGCACATTGCTCATGCTCATGCTCCTGCTCGTGCCTCACCCTACGCTGATGATGTGCACCTCTGACTCGTGTCCATCGCTCTGCGCCCATTGCGCCAGCTTCTCCACGCCTCTTCTGAGCTGCACCCGAGTTGCCCTTTGCAGCAGATCAACCTCCAGTGCGCCTCTGAACAGTCCACCCTGTTCGATTCTCTCTTGACTCTTCAGCTCCACCTCATCCAGACCGTCCAGCCATTCCAGCTGCTCGTCCAACGTGCGCGGCTCGGCATGTTGGGATTTGTATGTTGCGAGATCCGCAGAGTAGGCGGAAGAGTAGGTCGAAAATGCTGCGCCGTGCGGTTGAGAGCCTTCGGGTGGTGCGATGAGGGAGAGCGTATCGTGAGATGTCAGCGTCTCGTCCCAATCCAGCAGTAGCAGCATGACCGTATCGTCGTCGCCAACGGGCGCGGCTAATTCTGCATCTGTCTTGCGCTTGCTTGCTTAGCTACAGCCTTGTATGCCGAATTCGTAATTCGTAATGAGTGCAAAGATCTTGGCAGGACGTTGAAGATGATGGCTGCTGATGCTGATGCTGATGCTGAGGCTGGGGCTGGCCTGCGGGTTACGGGCTCGAACTGACTCGTGGAGGTCGAATGCCGCGGCTCTTCTCTCTCTCGCGCGTCGCTCCATTAAGCTCCCTGCGCATGGCAATCAAGCCACCGCGCCGCGCGCATTTGCTCGCATTTCCTTCATTCACCCGCCCGCGCATTCACAACATTCACATTCACATTCACCATTCAGGCTGTGATGCGATGGGCAAGGAAGTGCACCTGCACCGCCATTCACATTCTCGACTCGGCAAGCTTGAGGCTGCAAGTCTCTTCCCTCTGGGTGCGCAAAGGGCCCGCGCCCGCACACATGCTCGCAGACAAATCGTCGTGAGATCTTC